GAAGACAGGAAGAAAGAAAGGAAGAGGGAAAGGCAAGGGGGAAGAAACATAACTTACATTTTTACCTTCCAATCCAATAGATCAAGGCCTGAATCAGACCAAGATCTATGATTAGCCAGGAGAAGATATTAGAAGCAAAGTCAGAAGCAAAGCAAAGCCAGGCAAAGCAAAGCAAAGCAAAATAAGTCCAGATTAAAGCCTGTTCCTGATTCCCGTATTCTCTCTAATAGTAGTGCACTCTAAGCTTCGCCTAAATTCCTCGAAATCTCGAGAACCGATTATCAGAACCTATCGATGTGGGGTCGGAAAATGTAGCTGACGATGAGATCTTGACGATGATTAGAGGCTTGAGCTTCTGGGAAAACTTAGAAACTGTAAAATGGGCATCAACTCGGCTCAGTGGGGTGCACTACTATTAGAAGAAATAATAGAAATCACTTTCGGCTAACCGAACTATCAAACACTTTTGGCTGAGAATCATATTCGGCTATGACATACCTAAATATTAGATAGATAAGATATATCTAACATTATTAGAGAAAATAATGTAATCGAATTTGAAAGGATTTAGCTAGATATCAGTAAGGTTTCAAATCAGATTTCAAAAATGTACAAAAAGCGTTCATTTTTAAGCCCTCATGAATTCAGATTGCTGACTATTCGCGAGTGTTATGCGTGGAGAATGTGACACGAGCTTTCCGCGAGAATGACACCACTGCTTTATCAACTCATCCACCGAATCTTGGCGATGATCTCTTCACGATGCCGTTGGATGGTTAGTTTTAGAGAAAGAAGCTTTTGAAGAGATTACAAAGAGATCTAGAGCTTTTGAAGAGATTTCAAAGAGATCTAGAGCTTTTCAAGAGATTACAAAGCTTACAAAGCTTGCAAAGCTTGCAAAGCTCGTTTACAAAACTACCAAAGCTCGATTACAAAGCCTTCACTAGTTCTACTTATATTAGGCTCTCCAGAAAGGTGAAATCTGGTGAAACTCTAGCTTTCCTAAAGCTACAGTAAGCCAAGAACTTGTCAAGCTTTTCACTCAAACTGTCAAGCTTCACTTATAGTTTCCCAGAGCTACAATAATCCCAATAGACTCCGAGCTACAGTAATCCCAGTAGACCCAGAGCTACAGTAATCCCAATAGATTCAGAGCTACAGTAATCCCAGTAGACCCAGAGCTAGCTTTATCTCTCTAGATTATCTAAATCGATTTCCAGATTTCATGCGAGAAGCGAATCGAACGCTTTGCGTGCAATTCGAGGGTGGTTTCTTTGGCGCCGAACCGTCCTCATCACTTCTGATTGCTTTTTTGGTACTACTCACACTGATCCTCGTTGCCGGCTTCATTGCATTAGGCATGGCGAGAAAAGCCCACAATTCGATGGCACAACGAAGGTACGGTACTTGAGGAAGATTTCGATTGTTGAATGTTCAATTTCCAGATACAAAGCCACCTCATCCCTCAATTGCTCATCAACAACCGGCTCCTCTCCTTTACCAATCCCATTGATCTCCTATGACGCATTTGTCTCATACGCCCGACAAGACGAGAAAATGGTTGAGGAGAGGATTTGCAGGTGTGGATTTTAGTCGGATTTCTAAAGAAAGACAGGACATTTTATGAGTTGGAGGACCTAAAACATGATCGGCGCTGGGATTCGAACCCGCGACCGAGTAAACGTTTTACCAATGAGCTACAATGAGCTACAATGAGCTACAATGAGCTACAATGAGCTACAATGAGCTACAATGAACTACAATGAACTACAATGAGCTACAATGAGCTACGTGTCGACGTATCCCATTGCCGTTAGGGCAAGGCCTTATGCCTTACTATAACGATTCCATTTCACTGTTCCGGCAGAATCGTTAGATCAAGAGTCGACTGTAAATCGAAAATTGTCACTCTTAATCACATCGATTTGCTAGCCTTGGCCTTTTATTTAACGATTTATCGTTATTCTATATTTTTCGATATATAAAATTGAACCAATCGGTTCTTTTTTGATGCTAGAAATCGAAAAAAGATCCGGATTCGAACCAGTCGCCTTATCGAGCCAATCAGCCAGCCAACAAGCCAACCACCCAGCCAACGAGCCAACGAAAGCTCTACGAGCTACACCAACGTTTGCCTACACCAATGAGCTACACCAACGTTTGCCTACACCAATGAGCTACACCAACTTTTGCCACCGCCGTTAGAAAAGGGCTTAATGCTTAACGTTTCTATTTCGCAATTTCGCAACAGAATCATTAGATCGAGATACTGTATCTTAAAAATTGCTGCTCTTGATAAAACCCATCTATTTCCAGGCCACTAGAAGAGGAGGATTATCACTTGTGTCTTTTGCACCGCGATGGGCCCACGTACAACTCCAAGGTAAATCTAATGAATCTAATAAATCTAATCAATTTAATGAGTCTAATGGATCTAATGAATCTAATGAATCTAATGAATCTAATCAATCTATTGAACTAATGAACTAATCAATCTAATGGATCTAACGAATTCAAAAACAAACTTACTGTAACTATTTTCAGCTACACACAGTCCAGGACGAGCTACACGCACAAATGGAAAGCGCTCAGTGTTTGATCTTGGTGTTGACGAAGCATTTCCTGGAAAACGAGTGGACAACGGTGCAGGTTGGCTGCTTTGACTGCTTTGACTGCTTTGACTTACTTTGAGCTGCTTTGACTTACTGCACTACTTGGCTTTAGCTTACAGTATTACCTACTGTAAATACAGATCTTACTGTAGATATAGATCTTACTGTAGATGCAGATCGTACTGTAGATCTTACTGTACAAATATCCAAACATTTTATACTCTAAACGATTCCAGATCCGTACAAGCCACCAGCTTTTCTCGAGGAATCGCTCGAAACGCGTGATCGCCATTTTGGACACTGGTGGGCTCAAAATTCAGTCATAATTCTATGCTGGGCCATTTACAGTACCCAGAGATTGTCCACTTTGGATTACTGTAGCTCTTGTGCTTTTTAGGACCCCAAGCAATTCTAGAAGCTGGACCATTCACAGCTACAGTATCCCAAAAGCTACAGTGCCCCAAAAGCTACAGTTCCCCAAAAGTTATAGTATCTACAGTATCCCTAAAAGCTACAGTATCCTTGGAAGGTGCAATGTTACGCTAGCACATCGCACCTTTTAGCACAAAACCCTTGACCAGAGCTCTGTAACTCTGGAGATACTGTAGATACTATAGCTTTTGGGGCACTGTAGCTTTTGGGAAACTGTAGCTGTCAATGGTCCTTTTGTGATTCAGGATTCAGGGTTACTGTAACCTTGCGTAACTTTAAACCGTTTTTCAGATGTAGACGCGAATAGCCTGGATGAGGTTTTGGGCGGAATGTTGCGGCAAAACGATTGGATCCGAATGAACGATCATCTCTTTTGGACACTCTTGAGATCAAAACTCCCGTTGAGGTCACCGGGCATGCACTCAGCTGGATCGAATACGGCGTCACAGGTTGGTTTTAGCGTATCAGAGTGTCTAGGGTCTGACCAGGTCCAAGCCTTCAGCTACAGTTTTACTCAAAAGGCGTCTCTGTCGTCCATTAGAGTTAGAGTCGTCCATCCTAGGCTGGATCTAGCATGGATCTAGAATAGTCTAGTTGCAAGCTCTAGAACCTGGTCTGATTTCTGAGCTTCTAGACTGAACTAACTTCCAATCCCAGGCTCAAATTATTCTTGACCTAGCCTGGAGCTAGTCTAGTCTAGTCTAGTCTAGTCTAGTCTTAGCCTAGCCTAGCCTAGCCTAGTCTTAGCCTAGCCTAGCCTAGCCTAGTCTTAGCCTAGCCTAGCCTAACCTGGCCTTAGCTCTAGGGCCAGTTTAGGCTATTCTCTGCCCTGGCTTAGCTACAGTAAAGATCAAGTAGTCTATCCGCAAAGAATAAATTCCTTTCCAGGTCTACTCCGATCTCTACGGTCCAGTGCCATCGGAAATTCTCTGATCAAAAGCAAATCTCTCTACTTGGTGCTTCGCGTTCTTTTCCCTAAACACTTTTCTAGTCCTCATCGTTGAACAATCCGGTATTACTCTTAGCATTAAACTCAATTCTACAGCTTCCAGTAAAGCTTATAGCTTGCAATCTATGGCTTGCAATCTATAGCTTGCAATCTATAGCTTACAATCTATAGCTTATAATCTATAGCTACAATCTATAGCTTGCAATCTATGGCTACAATCTATAGCTTGCAATCTATAGCTTATAATCTATAGCTACAATCTATAGCTTACAATCTATAGCTTGCAATCTATAGCTTCCAGTTACAGTAAGTAAAGATTACAATAGTTTATCTTAAACTCTTCTCTATTTCCTATGCAAATGTTTCCTCTCATTGTTTCCTTTTTTCTTTTTTCTTTTTCAAAACGAAAACGGGTTCCCTCCTGTGTGATTCTAATGAAATTTCTTTTGAAATGAAAGTTTCTTTTTTCAATTTTGGACTTTCTTTTATCAATTTTTGACTTTCTTTATCAATTTGGACTTTCTTCTTTCAATTTTAGACTTTCTTGATCAATTTTGGACTTTCTTTTATCAATTTGGACTTTCTTTTTTCAATTTTTGTTTATTTTTCAAATTTCCACAATTTCTACATAATATTTCATTGGTTCTATTGGATTTTCTCAAAAATTTCTCGAATTTTGTTCAATTTTTGCGCTTTTTCCTCAGCAATTGTGTAAATTTGTAAAAACTTTATGCAAATTTGAATAAAAATTCAATAAATAAACAAAACGGAGATCTTTTTTCAAGGAAAAAAAACAAGGAAAAACAAGGATAAAACGAGGTAAAGGATAAAGATTTTTGATTTAAATTGAAAGAAATAAGAGAAAATTGGCAAAAAATCAAAGAAAACTGATCGTAAACAAAAGAAAATTGAAAGAAATCAACGAAAATTGATAGAAATTGAAGAAAATTGACCTTAAACTAAAGAAAATTGGCAATAATCAAAGGAAACTGATCGTAAACAAAAGAAAATTGATCGTAAACAAAAGAAAACTGACAGGAATTGAAGAAAATTGACCGAAATCAACGAAAATTGACAGAAATTGAAGAAGATTGATCGTAAACAAAAGAAAATTGAAAGAAATCAACGAAAATTGATAGAAATTGAAGAAGATTGACCGTAAACAAAAGAAAATTGGCAAAAATCAAAGGAAACTGATCGTAAACTAAAGAAAATTGACCGAAATCAACGAAAATTGACAGAAATTGAAGGAAATTGATCGTAAACAAAAGAAAATTGACAAAAATCAACGAAAATCGACAATGAATGAGTAAATTTTCGTAAAAACTACACGCTTTTGTTGGAGAGATTCAGATTAACGATTTCGAAACGGGGAAAAGCTAGTGTCCTTCTGGCTTTTAGCCATTATATTAGCCATATATTATTAGGATTTATTAGCCAAATGTGTTGCTAAAGGTTTACGATAGCTTTTCCCAATCTTTCGATTTCCCAATTAGCGACCGAATTGAGAGGAAAACACGTGGCCTTGCGCGAAAATGTTCAATGTTCGGGAGTGTGGATCGAATTGGGCACTGCCAAGACCGGCTTTCGTTTCGTGATCAACTGAAAGTTTGAATTTGAATTTGAATCAATTTGAATCAATTTGAATCAATTTGAATCAATTTGAATCAATTTGAATCAATTTGAATCAATCTGAATCAATCTGAATCAATCTGAATCAATTTGAATCAATCTGAATCAATTTGAATCAATCTGAATCAATCTGAATCAATCTGAATCAATTTGAATCAATTTGAATCAATTTGAATCAGTTTGAATCAGTTTGAATCAATTTGAATCAATTTGAATCAATTTGAATCAATTTGAATCTATTTGAATCAGTTTGAATCTATTTGAATCAGTTTGAATCAATTTGAATCGATTTGAATCAATTTGAATCTATTTGAATCAATTTGAATCAATTTGAATCAGTTTGAATCTATTTGAATCAATCTGAATCAATTTGAATCAATTTGAATCAATCTGAACCTATTTGAATCAATCTGAATCAATTTGAATCAATTTGAAAAAGAGAAACATTATTAACAAATGAGAAACTATTGGGTTGATGGAAAAGTCCTTTCGGATTTTTTGGGAGAGTCCTTTAAATTTGTCGAATTTAGACGTTTTATAGCTCATCCTAAAGCTGAATTCAAGACGGATCGATTGGTAAAAACCGTTTTGAGATATCTCTTTTCCTAAAAGTTTTACAGCTATTTTAGTAAAGGGCGGCAGAGGCAAAACAGCCAAAAAATGGCTGTTTTCACGTTTCGTTAGTTTTCCGTTCAGAAACCTAGGCTAAAAACATGTGTTTCGTGATCAGCGTCAAAAATAATCCCTAGACACGAATTTTCAGAATCTTTCTGAAAATTTTCAGAATTCTGCAACGACAGGATTCGAACCCGCGACCTTTCGCTTACCGAGCAACTCTGCTAACCATTACACTAAGACTGACCTGATCTCCGTTATTCTAGAGGGAGTTAAGTGCTACAATACGCTCACCAGTCAACCGTAACTGGTGAACCATTTAGCACTTTTTTTTGAGGTTAATTGGGCTGAAAATTGGCACCAAAGGGTTTTCTGGGTCAAGGAATTCGAATCTTTACTTGGTTTTTAAGAAAAACTACTTAATTTTTAAATATTCAGATGCCAAAAAGTTGACGGTAATCTAGTTGTCAAAGGTCGAATTCAACTCAAAAGCAGCAAGTGTTATCTAGAGAATCGAAGCCCTGAATCTTGGCTGAATCTTGGCTGAGTCTTGGCTGAGTCTTGGCTGAGTCTTGGCTGAGTCTTGGCTGAATCTTGGCTGAGTCTTGGCTGAGTCTTGGCTGAGTCTTGGCTGAGTCTTGGCTGAGTCTTGGCTGAGTCTAGGATCAGATTGATCGTTAATATTGATCAGATTAACGATCAATATTAACGAATCCATTTTCAGGGCTAGTTGATTCGGCAGGTGAGTTGTTACACACTCCTTAGCGGGTACCGACTTCCATGGCCACCGTCCTGCTGTCTATATCAACTAACGCCTTTCATGGGGTCTCATGAGTGGACACTTAGGCACTTTAACCCGACGTTTGGTTCATCCCACAGCGCCAGTTCTGCTTACCAAAAATGGCCCACTAGGAGCTCTCATTCAGGGTCACAGTTCACTGAAGAAACTGCAACATCATACCCATTGAAAGTTTGAGAATAGGTTGAGGGCATTTCGCCCCCAATTCCTCTAATCATTCGCTTTACCGAATATAACTGATTAACGAATATAACTGTGATCATCTTGATCATCTTGATCAGCTGACGATCATCTTGTTATGAAAAGATTCAAAATTCGAACTTTAAACTAGAAAGTACTAGAAAGTACTTTGTACTAGTACAAGTTTACCAAGTACAAGAAAGAAAAACAATTAAGGTAACTGAATTGGCTTAGAAACAAGTCTAGAACAATCCAAACAAGTTTTTTAGTAACAATCTTACTGTAATAATCTTACCGTAGTAGTCTTAGTAATAATCTTACTGTAATAATCTTTTCACTAACCTTGCCATGTATATTTCCTTCCATCGCTCATTAGGCGATTCTTGTAAAAATCAAAGATCGGCTCGATTGAGATCGTCGAGTTTTCTATGCATTTCACTGAGAAAAGCGTACCGCAACGGACAAACGAATTGCACCAATCGCTTGCATCCATTTTGATCTAATATTTATCGATTTTGATCTGATTTTGATCTGATTTTGATCTGATTTACTTCAAAAATTATAGATCTAGATTATTGGGATGTTGATCTCTTTAAGCAAACCTTCCATCTTCCCAACTCGTGCAGATTTTTTAGATGCAATCGCAGGGCAGTCAACGAGCCATCACTTCTTTCTTTGTACAAGATCTAAAGGGGAACTATAGTCCTTTAGAACTACAGTAATCCTTTAGAACTAGAGATCCTTTAGGACTACAGTAATCCTTTAGAACTACAGTAGTCTTCTAGAACTAGGGATCCTTTAGATCTACAGTAGTCCTTTAGAACTAGAGTAACCCTTTAGAACTAGGGATGCTTTAGATCTATAGTAATCCTTCGGATCTACAGTAGTCCTTTAGATCTACAAGTAATCCTTTAGAACTACAGTAATCCTTTAGAACTAGGGATCCTTTAGATCTACAGTAGTCCTTTAGAACTAGAGATCCTTTAGATCTACAGTAATCCTTTAGATCTACAAGTAATCCTTTAGAACTACAGTAATCCTTTAGAACTAGGGATCCTTTAGATCTACAGTAATCCTTTAGATCTACAGTAATCCTTTAGAACTACAGTAATCAGCTTTGAATCATCCTACTTCTTTTAGAGTTTAGAGTCGTTTTCTCTAGTTTAGTTTTCTCTTACAGTAGTGTAGTGTAGTCCAGCCGAGTTGATGCCCATTTTACGGTTTCTAAGTTTTCCCAGAAGCTCAACACTTAAATCATCGTCAAGATCTCATCGTCACCTACATTTTCCGACCCCACATCGATAGGTTCTGATAAGCGGTTCTCGAGATCTCGAGGAATTTAGGCAAAGCTTAGAGCGCACTACTATTAGAGAGAATACGGTAATCATTTTAGATTATTGTAAACTGGTATGATGGTAGCTAGCACATAAAATTGTTTTGCAATTCGCTCACCCAAAGCCCATGCTCATCGGCACCGGCATCGATCCTCGAAGTTGAGCCACCATAGAGTGGATCCTGGAAAAGACTTATGAAGTCTAAAATATGCCAGCTACCGTAGCCTTGACCTAGACAGCTAGTTTGATCTACATAGATATTTAAGTTTCATAAAATGGCTTTTATCGTAATCTTTGCGATTATAGCAAGGATTACTGTAATATGGTTGCCTAGCTACAATTTGGTTAACGATAGCCGCAATTGCGTTACCCGGGTTACCGTTCTCCGCCCCAGTTACCGTACCCCGCTTGAGTTACCGTACTCCGTGACAGTTACCGTGCCCCGGGACAGTTACCGTACCCCGCTGGAGTTACAGTACCCTGTGACAGCTATCGTAATCCTAAAGTGGCTACCGTAATCCGGATACCAGAATCCTAGTCCCAGATACCGTAATCCTAAGGTGGTTACCGTGATCCTCGTTCCAAATCCCGTAATCCTTAAGTGGTTACCGTAATCCCAGTTCCAGATACCGTAACCCGCTTGAGGTACCGTACTCCGGGACAGCTACGGTACGCCGGGACAGTTACAGTGGCCTGGGACAGTTACAGTGGCCTGTGACAGTTGCCGTACCGCATCGCTTGACAGTTACCGGACCCCGCTGGAGTTACAGTACCCTGTGACAGCTACCGTAATCCTAAAGTGGCTACCGTAATCCAGACACCGCGATCCAGACACCGTAATCCAGACACTGTAATCCAGACACCGCGATCCAGACGCCGTAATCTAGACACCGTAATCTAGACACTGTAATCCAGACACCGCGATCCAGACACCGTAATCCAGACACCGTAATCCAGACACCGCGAACCAGACACCGTAATCCAGACACCGTAATCCAGACACTGTAATCCAGACACCGCGAACCAGACACCGTAATCCAGACACCGTAATCCAGACACTGTAATCCAGACGCCGTAATCCAGACACTCTAATCCAGACACCGTAATCCAGACACTCTAATCCAGACACCGTAATCCAGACACTCTAATCCAGACACCGTAATCCAGACACTCTAATCCAGACACCGTAATCCAGACACTCTAATCCAGACACCGTAATCCAGACACTCTAATCCAGACACCGTAATCCAGACACTCTAATCCAGACACCGTAATCCAGACACTCTAATCCAGACACCGTAATCCAGACACCGTAATCCAGACGCCGTAATCCAGACACTCTAATCCAGACACCGTAATCCAGACACCCTAATCCAGACACCGTAATCCAGACACTCTAATCCAGACACCGTAATCCAGACACTCTAATCCAGACGCCGTAATCCAGACAACGTAATCCTGGTTCCAGATACCGCAATGCTAGTTAACGTAGTCCTAAAGTGGCTACCGTAATCCAGTAATCCGTAATCCTAGTTCCAGATCCCGTAATCCTTAAGTGGTTACCGTAATCCCAGTTCCAGATACCGTAATCCTAAAGTGGTACACCTGTGTCCAAAAAGTCATAAACTAGTTCTGAACTTCCGAACTAGTTATCAACTCACATGCGATGCATTGATCGCGTGATGTCTAGTCGTTTTCGTCTCAAGATGATGAGCGATCAACGACTCGCCGAATAGGTAAACGACCGTTCGATTGTGCACGGTGGCATCAGTACCATGAAATGGATACGGTAAAGTGACTAGAAATCAGAGATTGAAGTTTGAAATCCTAATTCTCAAAGCCTCACAAATTTTCGATGGCATACTATCAACCAGAGCAGATTCGTTGTGATAAACGAGCAATGTGTAGCCCAAATGGTACTCGAAAACGAACCTAGAATTTGTCGGTTACTGTAGGTGTTGTAGCTTTAAAGATCTCTACAGTAGTTTCTAGTAATCTCTAGTATTCACTATATCAATCTATTATTAGATAGCTACCAATATTTCCCATCCCCTTAGCGCGGCTCCAATCGAATGCGGTCGTTTTGTGACAAGTCGAGGTGCGGTCATTGACACGTCCACTTGACAATCTAAAACAGAAAAACTACTGTAATCTTATAGATTACTGTATTCTATGTATTCTATTCTATTCTACTGTAAACTGTCTACTGTAAACTACTGTAGTTTTCCATGAGGATTTCTGGAAGAAAGAAGAAGAGTCAAGCTAAAGGCTGAAGCCAAAGAAGAACAAGCTAGAGGCTGAAGCCTTGTTAAGATGCCTTGTTAAGCTCAGCCTTGTTAAGCTGCCTTGTTAGCCACCTCGTTAAGTTTCCTTGTTAAGCTGCCTTGTTAAGCTCAGCCTTGTTGCTGCTTTGTTGCTCCTTTGCTGCTTGTGATGCCTTGCCGCCTTGTTAGCTGCCTTGTTAAGCTGCCTTGTTGCTGCCTTGTTAAGCTACCCCGTTAAGTTGCCTTGTTAAGATGCCTTGTTGAGCTAAGCCTTGTTAAGCTCAGCCTTGTTAAGCTGCCTTGTTAAGCTGCCTTGTTAAGCTGCCTTGTTAAGCTACCTCGTTAAGTTGCCTTGTTAAGATGCCTTGTTAAGCTAAGCCTTGTTAAGCTCAGCCTCTGTTGCTCGCCTTGTTGCCGCCTTGTTGCTGCCTTGTTAGCTACCTCGTTAAGTGCCTTGTTAAGATGCCTTGTTAGCTAAGCCTTGTTGCTCAGCCTTGTTGCTGCCTTGTTGCTGCCTTGTTGCTGCCTGTTGCTACCCGTTAGTTGCCTTGTTAAGATGCCTTGTTAAGCTAAGCCTTGTTAAGCTCAGCCTTGTTAAGTTGCCTTGTTAAGCTGCCTTGTTAAGCTGCCTTGTTAAGCTACCTTGTTAAGCTCAGCCTTGTTAAGCTGCCTTGTTAAGCTAAGCCTCGTTAAGCTGCCTTGTTAAGCTCAGCCTTGTTAAGCTGCCTTGTTAAGCTCAGCCTTGTTAAGCTGCCTTGTTAAGCTGCCTTGTTAAGCTACCTCGTTAAGTTGCTTTGTTAAGCTGCCTTGTTAAGCCTAGCTAGATCAGAATCCGTTCAGATTGTCTGTGCTTGTCTTAGAGCTTGTCTGTGCCAAGCTTTTCAACCTTGGCATATGAAAATCTTAAAAAAAAAACAGAATAGAACCTTTTTAAACATAAAAAAAAACTCACGTTTTCTATCCGAATGCGACTTTTTTCGGTGTTTCTTTGCCTCAAAACCGATCGTTATCGAATGCTTTTCGCATAAGTGTTTCAGTTGGGATTTCTAAACATAAATCGGTTTAAAATCTATATGTCGTATATATATGCCGTTCTAAAACCATTTTTCGTTGAAAGTAGGAGAAAGAGGGCGAGGAACAAATTCAGGGCAACTCTCAAATGTGAAAACAGCGACCGAGTTCAACTGAAGTCGTTCCTCGCCCTCTTTCTCCTAGCTTTAAAAAACAAATGTTTAATGTAGCTTTATTTTAAGAATCTACATCAAATTGGCTACAAAATGAGCTATTAGGCAAGTTTTTTGGCTGAGTAGAAAATTTTTTCTGAGCCCCCAAAGTTTCGGTTCAAAAATGGCTATAAAAAATTTTCTACTCAGCCTAAAACCTTGCCTAATAGCTCATTTTGAATGCAAATCGATGTAGATTATTTAAGCAAGCCATCTAAAACCATTTTTTGTTGAAAGTAGGAGAAAGCGGGCGAGGAACGACTTCAGTTGAACTCGGTCGCTGTTTTCACATTTGAGAATTGCCCTGAACTTGTTCCTTGCCCTCTTTCTCCTACTTTTAACGAAAAATTGTTTTAGATGGCTTTACTTTAAGAATCTACATCAATTTGGCTACAAAATGAGCTATTAGGCAAGTTTTTTGGCTGAGTAGAAAATTTTTTCTGAGCCTCCAAAGTTTCGGTTCAAAAATGGCTATAAAAAATTTTCTACTGAACCAAATGAGCTAATTTCAAAAATTTATCATAAAATATATGTATTATGAACATTTTTATGTGGGTCACTTTTTGATTGGATGCCTGGAAATACCCTCATTCGTTAGCGGCTCAATTTCGTAAACGGTTACGACGGCTACGACGGCTACGATGGCTACGACATATATTTAAAGCAATCAAATTATCAAATTCTAAGCCTATACCTCAAATTTCTATCAAATTTCTCTAAATCTTACAGTCATTTCAGCATAAATTGGCAAATAATCATCTCTGATTTCATTCTCCGAACTGTACAACGAGCGACGGCCACGCGGCGTTTCGTCTAGAGATTTCTGAATGGAGAATTGAATTATCGAAGAAAAGAGAGTGATTTATGGATTGGAATTGATTCTAGATAGATTTTAGATAGATTTTAGAGATTCTAGACAGATTTTAGATAGATTTTATCAAATATTTATCTTTAAATCTTCACCTGTAAATTGACGATACTCATTCGTTGATAAACGATCATCATCAGCGCAAAAATAAGCGAAAATCCGAGGAAAAGTCTTGAGCTGATCATCTGAAAGACAAAAGAAGTTTGTGAATTCTCAAGTTTCATTATCTGAGGTACAAATTTACAGCTGAGTATCTTTTTATGCAATTTACAAAGCAGAGAAATCCCTAGAAGTGACTAGCAAGATGCTCTCTGTGCGGGCGCGTAATCGCTCGCTTTCTGGCAAATCGGTCTGGCTTAAGGGGCTTCCATTTTCCCTCGGTTAAACCGTCTGTCTCATCGTCCGAAGAAGCTTTTTCTCATGCTCTGCCATTCACCGACATATTGATATTGTTATTCCAATGTTATCGCAGATCCTAGGCCTTCACCTGCTGTCACTTCCCACATTTGTTCTGAGCTGGCTTTGCCGTTTTGCCGTCATTATTATTGCTCATTATTGCTTCGCAGATTCTGGGAGGCTTTGTCGTTTTGGCCGTCATTATGCCCGAATTTTGACGGATGAAGTCAAATGGAAGAAATGCTGCGGATGCGGAGAAAGAGAGGATGCTGCGACTCCATGATCAGAATAACCGCATGGAAATGAAGCTTGATCTTCTATTGTTTCACTGGGATTTTTCACCCGTCTGGCATTAGGGGCTTCCCTTTTCAAAGCTGCAAACTGTTTGTATCATCGTCCAAAGAAGCGTTTCCTCTGCGTTTTTCACTCGCCGACATTAAATATTGCTTCCCACATTTGTTCTGAGCCGTTTTGCCTTCGCCGTTTTTGGCCTTTTGCCGTTTTTATATAATTTTATATAGTTTTATGTCATTATTATAATCCATTTTGTAAACTAAACAATAACTAAAAGCCAAATCTAGATCACAATAGAGAAAGTCTTCAAAAGTTTTCTAGAGCTACTAGAGCTACTAGAGCTACTAGAGCTACTAGAGCTACTAGAGCTATTAGAGCTACTATAGCTACTAGAGCTACTAGAGCTACTAGAGCTATTAGAGCTACTAGAGCTACTAGAGCTACTAGGCTACGGGGCTACAGAGCTACAGGCTATTAGAGCTACTAGAGCTACTAGAGGCCTAGAGCTACTAGAGCCACTAGAGCTACGAGGCTACCAGAGCTACTAGGCTAGGCTCTAGGCTACAGGCTGCTAGAGGCTATGGGGCTACTAGAGCACTAGGCTACTGGAGCTGGAGCTACTAGAGCTAGAGGCTACTGAGCTACTAGAGCCCTAGAGCTACTAGAGCAAAAGTTTGCTGGGAAAACTTTGATGAAAAGAAAAACGGTTTCTCGAAAAGTGAGACTTTGATTGAATGAATGCTCCTTTCAATCTCTCACACAAAACCCTAATTTGTATGCAAAACGGGCGACGAGTTGACAAAAAGAAAAGAAAAAAGAAGAAAAGACGAGGGATTTATGACATTTCAAGCGGTCCAACAGATCAAGGAAAAGAAGAAAAGAAAACGATGAGATTTGGATGAATCTGATGGGAATCTAGGTGGTGAACAAGTGGTAAACAATTCGAAATGGTAAAAGTGTACTTTAAAGGATCAAACCTGAGAAATCTATGCTTTTCCATATATCATTATCAATCTGTACGAGAATGTACGAGCTTTTCTCAGCCTGGCCTAGATCTCTGACCTATATTGGCTTTGTTGCAGTCTCTAGACTCGCTAGGCTAGGGCTAGACTCAAACTAGGGCTAAGTGTGCAGAGTGGGAGTAAGACAAGCAGTAACCCAAGCCAGGATTAGACTTGAGTTAACCCAAAGTCAGACTACGCTTTGTTTCTCTCTTACAAGCTCTCCTCAAGCTCGCTTACAAGCTCTCCTTCAAGTCAAGTCAAGTCAAGTCAATTCCTAAGTCTAAAAAATACTTTAAGCATTATACTAACCAAAAACAAAACGATCTTGGGATGAGCAGGGAAATTTGATTAGACTCCGTTTCCTAATGAGGCTCAAAAATGAGGAAAAAGGCGGAAAAGAAAAACACTAATTATATGGGAAAATGAATGGGGTAAAAAGAAAAGAGAACGCTTTGGAGAGCCTATACATGGGTATGGTTACTGAAAGCATTTGTTCCAAGTGACTCAGTCACAACGGGGTTGGCCAAGGCTAGGCTAGACCAGGGCAAAGCTAGGCTAGGCTAGACCAGGGCAAGGCTAGGGCTAGGCTAGGCTAGGGCTAGACCAGGGCAAAGCTAGGCTAGGCTAGACCAGGGCAAAGCTAGGCTAGGCTAGACCAGGGCAAGGCTAAGCTAGGCTAGGCTAGACCAGGTCAATGCTAGGCTAGGCTAGACCAGGTCAATGCTAGGCTAGACCAGGCCAAGGCTAGGCTAGGCTAGTCTAGACCAGGGCAAAGCTATGCTAGGCTAGACCAGGGCAAAGCTAGACTAGGCTAGACCAGGGCAAGGCTAAGCTAGGCTAGGCTAGACCAGGTCAATGCTAGGCTAGACCAGGCCAAGGCTAGGCTAGGCTAGGCTAGACCAGGTCAATGCTAGGCTAGGCTAGGCCAGACCAAAGCTAGGCTAGGCTAGACCTTATAAGCAGCTAGTTTTTACATTATTCGACTCGTCTTTTCAAGCTCTTAAAAGATGCACTATCCGCAAATCGAGATTCGACCACGAGTTCCAATCGGTTCCTTGTTAGAATCGAGAGCTTTAGATGATCAAGAGCTTGATGAGCTTTAGATCAAGAGCTAGATGTAACCAATTAAAACCCAACCACTTTCATCGATCGCCAAAGATGGATCTTGTGACGTCGGATCGCCGCCGGTCGACAATCGTCCAAGTCAAGCGTTTGGAAATCGGATGTACTAGTACTGCCATACATTTTTGAAATACTGTAGTTTGACAAGAGTACAGTAAGAGTACAAGTACGAGAAGTACAAGAAGCACTAGTACAAGAAGTACAAGCAGTACTAGTACAAGTATAAGGGTACATACAAGTACGAGAAGTACTAGTCCAGTACAGAAGTACAAGTACAAGTACGAGAAGTACAAGAAGTACGAGTACAAGAGTGCTAGCAGTCAAGAGTACTAGCTAAAGTACAGCAATCTTATAGTTAGCTTACAGTAAATCGTAGGCTAAAGTACAGTAATCTCCCAGATTACAATAGGTAGCCTGAATTGAATGGGATACTGTAGCTGGATAGGAATCCTGTAGCCGGATAGGAATACTCTAGCCGGATAGGAATCCTGTAGCCGGATAGGAATCTGTAGCGGATAGAGTACTGTAGCCGGATAGAGTACTGTAGCCGGATAGGAGTACTGTAGCCGGGTAGGAATCTGTAGCCGGATAGGAGTACTTGTAGCCGGATAGAGTACTGCAGCCGGATAGGAGTACTGTAGCCGGGTAGGAATCCGTAGCCGGATAGGAGTACTGTAGCCGGATAGGAGTACTGTAGCCGGATAGGAATACCGTAGCCGGATAGGAAAACTGTAGCCGGTAGGAATACTGTGGCCGGGTAGGAATCTGTAACCGGATAGGAGTACTGTAGCCGGATAGGAGTACTGTAGCCGGATAGGAATACTGTAGCCGGATAGAAAAACTGTAGCCGGGTAGGAATACCGTGGCCGGGTAGGAATCTGTAGCCGGATAGGGAGTACTGTAGCCGGATAGGAGTACTGTAGCCGGATAGGAATACTGTAGCCGGATAGGAAAACTGTAGCCGGGTAGGAATACCGTGGCCGGGTAGGAATCTGTAGCCGGATAGAGTACTGCAATCGGACAGGAGTACTGTAGCCGGGTAGGAATCTGCAGCCGGATAGGAGCAATGTAGCCGGATAGGAGTACTGTACCGGATAGGAAACTGTAGCCGGATAGGAAAACTGTAGCCGGGTAGGAATACTGTGGCCGGGTAGGAATCTGTAGCCGGATAGGAGTACTGTAGCCGGATAGGAGTACTGTAGCCGGATAGGAATACTGTAGCCGGATAGGAAAACTGTAGCCGGGTAGGAATACTGTGGCCGGGTAGGAATCTGTAGCCGGATAGGAGTACTGTAGCCGGATAGGAGTACTGTAGCCGGGTAGGAATCTGTAGCCGGATAGGAGTACTGTAGCCGGATAGGAGTACTGAGCCGGATAGGTACTGTGCCGGATAGGAGTACTGCAGCCGGATAGGAGTACTGTAGCCGGATAGGAGTACTGTAGCCGGATAGGAGTACTGTAGCCGGGTAGGAATCTGTAGCCGGATAGGAGTACTGTAGCCGATAGTATGCAGCCGGATAGGGGAGTACTGTAGCCGGATAGGAATACTGTAGCTGATCCCAGAATACAATACCTTTACCGGATTACGGTGGCTCGAATCGAATCACATTTTAAGAAGCAGAATCGTTTAAAGTTGATGTTATCAATGGAAATTTAGCCAAAAGAATTTCTACAGTAATCCAGTAGACTCAGAATACAGCATTTAGACAATAGTAAACCGTGGAATGTTCTGCAAAAAGATCTTTCACTTAAACAAGCTGTAAAATGGGGATTTCTGAGGCAATTTGTGAAAATCTCAAGAGGAAATCTCCGTTTGTCGTCTATAAAGAAGAGATTGAGAGTCCCCTGGGATCCCAAAGGCTACCCTAAAGCCCCAAGCCAAGAGGACAATCGTTGGAAATCGTTGGAAAGAAAAAAATGACAACAAAGTTCTTTCCGTTGACATGGAATAATGAAAAATGGCTTCTGTGTGCTTTGTGGTCACAAAAACACCTTTCTGGTGCACTGATTTCTCTTGTACTTTGAGCTATGAGTGTACTTTTGAGCGAAGAATTGTTAGCACTGAGCTTTGAGCTAGAAAGGGTGTGTTTGAGCTGAGCACAAAGTGCGTTTGGAGTCTGGAAGGCTTGTTCTTTGTGCTGGAAGCTGGAAACGCACACTTTCTGGCAGATTTTGGGGATTTTGGAGAAAAATGAATGAATGGAAAGCTTAAAGTCAAAAAAGAATGGGATCTAAACTTTGTGAGAGGAAGTTTGGAACATAGGAAGTAACATAGGAAGTTTTGGATCTAATAAGTAGGATAGGGAAGGGACATAGAAAGTATTAAACATAGTTTTGAATATAGGAAGTAACATAGAAGTAGCATAGGGAAGTTTTGAGCATAGTTCTAAACATAGGAAGTAACTTAGGAAGCTTTAAACATAGGAAGTAACCTAGGAAGTAAATAGAAAGCTTCGAACATAGGAAGTAGCCTAGAAAGCAACATAGGAAGTAGCATAGGAAGTTTTGAACATAGTTCTGAACATAGGAAGTAGCATAGGAAGCTTTAAACATAGGGAAGTAACTATAGGAAGTACAAATAGAGCAGGAAGTTTTAAACATAGGAAGTAGCATAGAAAGTAACATAGGAAGTGACATAGAAAGTATTAGAAATAGAACTAAACATAGGAAGAGCATAGGAAGTTAACAAGAAAGCTTTTGAACATAGGAAGTAACATAGGAAGTTTTAAACATAGGAAGTAGTATGTAAAGCAATATAGGAAGTAACGTAGAAAGTTTTAAACATAGTCTGAAAATAGGAAGTAACCAAGGAAGTAACATAGGAAGTTTTAAAGTGCTGCTTCGTAGAAACGGCTATAAAATGAGGCAAGATTGATGAAAAGGATATAGATATGTTCAAGTGCGCTTCAAGGGATTAGGACCGACTGGTCTCCCCCTTCAATTTACAAGGAATGATTGAAAGCAGAGGGAATATTTCAGGCAAAATATCACTTAATCAACTCAAGACTCGAGGAGAACTAAGGAAAACTATTTAGAAAAATGAGTAAAATCAGAACTATGGATCTTATTGGGTTTGTTGGCATGAAATATTGTTATGGTTCTGCTTAAGAGACTAATAATCACTGGGATTGTACTTTGTACCTGTACTTTGAACTGTACTTTGTGTTGTACTTTGTACTGTGCTTCTAACTGTACTTCCTGTGCTGTACTCTTGTACTGTGCTTCTAACTGTACTTTGTGTTGTACTTCTTGTACTCGTGCTTCTAACTGTACTTTGTATTGTACTTTGTACTCATACTCTAACTGTACTCCTTGTGCTGTAATTTATGTACCTGTGCTCTAACTGTAATTTGTATTGTACTTCCAGCTGTACTGTAATTTTTACTCTAACCGTACTTTGCATTGTACTCATTGTACTTACGGTTTTTCTTCTATCAGAAAGCCTCATTAATCCCGGAGAATTTTTTTAGAAGTTTCTGTAAATCTTTGATTTCCTTTTGAGGATTTGAGGGAAGAAGGAAGAGTCAAAAATAGAGTTCTTGACCTTCATAAGGCGAAGTTTAATCCCTCACCAGAGTTCATCGATGGCCGACTGGTAAGTTGCTGGCGGTACAGGACGGGGAAGGTCGGGTTCGGGCCCGATCCAGACCGGTGCAATTTTCTTTACTTTTTCAGTCTCATTAGCTTTTCTATCTTATCCCTTTTGTAAATTAAAAACAATAGTTAGCAAAGAAATTAAGTGGCAAAAAAATAGTGAAAGGGGTGGGAAATTTGAATGCAAATCCATCATAGCAAAGCCATTAGAGAAAGCTATGAGAGCAAAGCCATTAGAGGAAAGTCATTAGAGCAAAGCTATGTGAGCAAAGTCATTAGAGGAAAGCCATCATAGCAAAGCTATTAGAGCAAAGTCATTAGAGCAAAGCTATCATAGTAAAGCCAATAGAGGAAAGCTATTAGAGCAAAGCTATCAGAGCAAAGCTATCACAGTAAATTCAATCAGTTTGGACCTAGTTTTGTGGAGAAACAAAACCAAAGAAGATGTGATGGAAAGCTAGAAGATGGAAAGCTAGAAAAAGCAAAGCCATCAGAGCAAAACTATCAAACAAAGTATTAAAATAAAGAGAAATCTAACTAGTAGACAGATAGATTTGGATGTTTATTCACTATTAGTATTCCAGTCACCTTTGTCGTTTTGTCGTTTTGTCGATTTCTCTCTATCCCTCTCGTAGCCCCAGGCCGGGCACCCGTCTAATTCAATGAGAAAAGAAGAAAGAAGAAAGAAGAAAGTAGTTAAAAAGAAATAAGAAGAAAGAAGAAAAGCGAAAAGAGAAAAGAGAAAATAAGAGGAGCAAGCATCACGCGTTACCCAGTACTCTAAGATCCAAAATGCAAAACGCAAAATTCAAAATGCAAATTCCAAACGCAAAAGAAAACGTTATTCATTTTGGTGAATTAGAAAATTTATTTATGACTTCTATGACTTAGGAAAGAACGTAGACAAGATTGAGTGATTGATTGGTGACGCATTTTTAAGGTAGATTGTTTCCCCGTAAAGAATCGAGTCGAATGCGGCTTTGCTGATCGCGTTGTACACTGAAAACAAATTGTATTTTCGTATTTTCTCTAATCGTATTTCTAATCTGAGCTTTCCCTAAATTTCTCGAAACTCGAGAACCAACATTATCAGAACTCTATCGGGATGTGGGGTCGGAAAATGTAGCTGATGATGATCTTGACGAGGATGAGAGTGTTGAGCTTCTGGGAAAAATTCAGAAACTGTAAAATAGGCATCAACTCGGCTTGACTGGGTGCACTACTACATAAGCCAGCGAGGATACAGCATTCAGCTTCTTGCGCGCTCCCAGGGGCTTCTCGGCCATGGAGAATCTGACTCTCGGGTCTATTTCAACTTTGGGGCTTAAGTAGTAAATTTCCTTAGCTCAGCTAACGTCAAGAAGTTGATCAATCAACAAAATTTGGGTTTTTTAGTCAAATAAAACGCAACTCGGTTCATTGCTTCCTAATTCCCGCTTCTGCCTAAATTCCTCGAAATCTCGAGATCCGCTTATCAGAACTTCCATCGATGTGGGTCGGAAAATGTAGCTGACGATGATCTTGACAAT